TTTTTTTTTTTTTTTTTTTTTTTTGGTCTTTTTGAGATGGGGTCTCCCGTAGCCCCAGCTGTCCTAGAACTCGCTATGTAGACCCGGCTGGCCTTGAACTCAAGGGATCCGCCTGCCTCTGCTTCCCAAGTGCTAGGGTAGGCGTGTGCCTCCAGGCCCAGCTTTTTGAAACAGCCATTTCAAAATTTAATGGACATTATTTTCCCCTGTCCTATATAGTGAACAACTTTTTAATTTTTATAACTAATCTAGAAAAGAATTAATGTAAGCAGCAAAAATAAGCTGGGCGTGGTGGTGCACAACTTTAGTCCCAACACTAGGGATGCAGAGGCAGGCTGATCTCTGTGAGTTCAAGGCCAGCCTGGTCTATACAGTGAGTTCTAGGCCAGCTAGAGCTACAGGGAGATCTCAAAAAGACCAAAAAAAAAAAAGAAAAATAAGTGATAATACAGGGATTAAAAGTTGAGGTTTTTCAAGCAGGCAAGGTGGTACATACCTAAAACCTCAGTATTCAACATTATGGAGACTAGAGCAAGAAGACCAAGATTCAAGGCCTGCTCCAAGCACAGCAAATACGAGACCTGCCTGAGCAGCTCAGCAGGAATACGTTCTCAGGTAAATTTTGTTTTTTGAGAGATAATCTCCCTGTAGCCCCAGCTTGCCTGGAACTTGCTATGTACACCAGGCTGGCCTTTGATTTCAGAGATTCAGCTTGCCTTTGCCTTGGATTAAAGGTGTGTACCACCACACCTGGCCAAATAAATTTTTTGAGCACTTAGCAGTAGAGTCCTTGCCTACCATGAACAAAGGCTTGGGTTCAATCTCCAGAATGGAAGTGGGGGCAGGGAGGACATACTTCCACTACTATTATTCCTACTACTACTACTGTTACAGATGTTATATACAAATAAACCTAAATATATACCTAGAAAAATCTTTTTAATAAACAAAGTCCTCACAATAGCACTGGCTGGCCTAGAACTCACTATGTAGACCAGGCTAGCCTTAAACTCAAGAGATTCCCCCCTGCCTCTGTCCCCCAAGTGGTGGGATTAAAGGAGTGTGTCACCACACCTGGCTCATAAACAGAATCTTCTGGGTGTACCTCAGTGCTAAAGTGCTTGCCTAACCTGTACAATGGAAAAGAAACTTTCAAAATAATTTAAGGAAATATACCAAAATATAATAGATATACCACAATATAACAGTAGTTTTCGCTGGACTGTGAAATTATGTAACATTTGTCTTTTTATACTCTCCATAATGAATTTACATTACTGGTGAATAAAAATATTTTTAAAAAATTATGAGCAAGGCGTGTAATCCCAGCACTTGGGAGACAGAGGCAGGTTGATCTTTATGAGATACAGGCCAGCCTGGTCTACAGAGCAAGTTCCTGGGCTACAGGGAGATCCTATCTCAAAAAATAAAAAAATAAGAATATACACACATACACACACACACACACACACACACACACACACACACACACGAGGATATATGAAATCTATGTTGCCCAGGCTGGCCTCAAACCTGGGCTCAGGCAATCATCCTACTTCAACTTCCCAAGTACCTTGGACCACAGGCATGTACCACCAAACCTGGCAAAAAAAAAAAAAAAAATCCTCTACTTTAAATATCTTTTGAATGAAAAAAAAAGTCAAACGCTCAGTATCTTAAAATTTCGGAACTCCAGGGCTGGAGTGATGGTTCAGCAGTTAAGCATATGTTTTTTTGAGACAGGGTCCCATTATGTAGCCCCAGCTGGCCTGGAACTCCCTATGTAGACCTGGCTGGCCTGGATCTCACAGAGATCTACCTGCCTTTGCCTCCAAGTAAATGTGCTGCCACACCTGGTTTAGACTTAACTATCTGAAAGCACTAAGCTTAAAAACAAAACAAGGGAATTGGGTACGGTGATGCACACCTTTGATCCCAGCACTTGGGAGGCAGAGGCTGGTGGATCTCTGTGAGTTCAAGGCCAGCCTGGTCTACATAGTGAGTTCCAGGACATCTGGGGCTACAGGGAGACCCTGTCAAAAAACAAAACAAAAAAAACAAGGGGCTGGAGAGATAGATGGCTCAGTAAGAGTACTGCTGTTCCTGCAGAGGACCCAGGTTCCATTCCCAGCACCCATATGGTGGCTAACAACTGTAACTCCAACACCCTCTTCTGGCCTCCATGGGCACCAGGGACATGACATGCTTGCAGGCAAAACATTCATACACATAAAATAAAAATAAATCAAAAAACATTTTTAAAGATAAAAATAAAATCAATCCTTAGTGACCAAAACAATGGGAATTTCTGAATTTTTATAGTACCAGTAAGTCAGTTACTTCATGAATTCTTAGTTTTCATTTTGCTCCATCTTCTCCTTCACCCCTAATAAATGTCATTGCTAACCAGGTCTTGCCTTGGGTTCTTTCCTAACCTCACTCTACTTTCTCTAGATAATCTTATCCCTGTTCCTTTGAATGCCACGGCTACAGACTCCTAAATCAAGGTCTTTAACGCTGACTTGCCTACTGGGTAACTCTACCTGGATCTCAAATTCTATGTCTGGGTCTGAGAGTATAGCTCAGTGGTAGAGTACTTGTCTGGTCCCTGGGCTCAATCCCTAGCATGGAAAAAACTAAAGCAAATACTCAGTACACCTAAGATTATTCTGTCTTCCCTCATAACTTGTTCACCATTCATACCATTGTTTATAAAAACCAGCATCCAATTTACCTCACATTAGGAACCTTGAAACCACCATAAGACAATTATTCTATCCTCTCCCATCAAAATACTAAGCAGGCTCAAGCTTAGCTAAGCTTTTTAGTTCAGACAAGCTTCCATGATCAGACAAGATCAGGCATGTTCAGGGTTTTATGGCAGCAGAATTTTTTCAATCTTTACTCTGCCCCATTAAGTTTTCATATACAATTTGTTTAATCTATGTCTAAAAAGCTGTAAATCTAGCCTTGAAATCAAATTCTCATCTGGTTTGTATTATTGCAGAGCCACCCCAAAGCTCTCTGTACACTGCTAGAAGAATTATTTTTTGTTAAAGAAAATCTGATCTAGGGGCTGGAGAAATGGCTCAGTGGTTATGAGCACTGACTGCTCTTGCACAGAACCCAGGGACCCACGTGGCGGCTGACAACCATCCATAACTCCAGTTCCAGGGGATCTGACGCCTTCGTCTGACTTCCATGAACGTTGCACGACATGGGTGCACATACACACATGCAGGCAATACACTCATAAAAAAACAAAAATAATAAATATTAAAAAAAGAGAATCTGATCTCGTAAGTCCTCCAATTAAAGGCCTCTCGGTGTCAAAGAAAGAAGCATAATACATTTGCTTGGGACTTAATTATTTAATTTAGCAAATGAACCAGTTCACAAATTGGTTCTGGGTTTATTTCTTACCCTTTCTGGTCCCACCATTCTCTGTACCCTCCAACTAGTCCATGGTTACAAGCTTCTGCATATGCCTTATTTGCCTAAAAGTGCTCGCATCAATCTACTACTCTGTGAAGTCTTTCTCATTTCACCACTTTCTCTGGGCAGAAAGATGTAAGTGCAGCCACTTGTATGTTCTCATAGATGCTCATACTTTTCATACTTCCACTGTAGTTTGCATCACACTGTTGATAAGTGTCTAATTCACCACAAAGACCATTGTACCTGACATCACTCAACCTTATTATAAGCTCTATATAACTCTTCCCCCCCCCCCCCCCCCCGGTCTTTTTGAGACAGGGTCTCCCTGTAGCCCCAGCTGTCCTGGAACTCACTATGTAGACCAGGCTGGCATTGAACTCACAGAGATCCACCTGCCTCTTGCCTCCCAAGTGCTAGAATTAAAGGCATGTGCTACCACGCCCAGCTCTATATAACTTTTTAAATAATAAAATCAAAGATTTGACACAAAGTGAACCAAATGACTAGATACTCTGACATAATCCTGAAGACTCTACTTGATTTCACTGTCATACTATAAAAGTAACCCACAATCAGCTGGGCATGGTAGTACACACCTTTAATCCCAGCACTCAGAAGACAGAGGCAGGCAAATTGCTTTGAGTTCAAGGCCAGCCAGAACTCTAGAGAAATCTGTCTCAAAAAAAAAAAAGTAACCCATGATCCTAAGATGCTATAGGCCCAAGATCAATTGTATCTACCCAAATAATTTTTTAATACTTTATTATTTTATGTATACGAGTGTATTGCCTGAATGTATATAAGTACATCCATGTTGTGTAATGCCTGAGGAGGTTAGAAGAGGGCATTGGATCCCCTGGAACTAGAGTTACAGAGGGTTATTAGCCACCATGTGGGTGCTGGGATTTGAACTCAAGTCCTTTTGAGAGAACAGTCAATGCTCTTAACCACTGAGTCATCTCTCCAGCCCTAAAATAATTTTTACATGGGAGTACAGAAAAATCTTACCTCGGGGGAAGATTCCTGGGTCCATAAAGGTGGCCATGCTGAAGTTGGCCAGCACAAAGAGAAACATAATCGCATTGTAGATGGGCACTGCAGGTGACACATACAGGCTTAGTCCTGGACACCTGCAGACAATAAAGAAGATGAAGGAGTGCCTCTAACACTCTGGACCCCAGCAGAAACCTGTAGAGATTTAGCCCTCATACCTATATATGAATCTTGTGTGGTTTACCTTTGCCGTCCAAATTATTACCTTTATCCTTCCCATCAAGTGGCCTAGCTTCCCATGGAACTGTTTCTTTTCCATCAAGATATGAGGCAAGTTTATATCAAGATGAGAGAAACTCTCCTACATTAACTACATCAAGTCTGGTTCTTCAGATTCAGTCTTCCCCCATGGATCTTTCCACATGTTTTATAATGTGTTCTTATCTCCCTACAAACCAGATGTAAGAACAAGGGACTAGAGAATGTAACAGACACCAGCTGCACTCCTTCTTTGGAGTAGCCTGAGGTTTCTGTATCCCAGCCATGTCCCAGGGACCTGAACGTAGACCCAAAGCATGTAGATACTACCTGCCTCTCTAGTTCCCCTTCCCACTTCCCAGATAGCTTTGAACCAATTTCAACTGTCTTACGTTTCTTCACTGTCATATATTTCTCAAACTTTATTTATCTAGAGCCTTATTTTAAAGGCTGGGAATCGAAACCAATAATAACAATACTGATAAGGATGGATATCAGAACACAGAGTAAGCCAGGCATCCTAGTGCACATCTGTAATCCCAACACTTGGGAAGCTGAAGCACAATCATCATCAGTGAGGGCTACACACACACACACACACACACACACACACACACACACAGAAGCACTCACTTTGGCTGCACGTATACTAAAATAAGAATGATACAGAGATTAGTGTGGACCCTGCAGAAGGATGACATACAAATCTGTGAAGCATCTCTTTAAAAAAAAAAAAAAATCAGATAAAGGACAAAGAACTAGACTTCCTTTGACATCTAAAAATGGAGCAAGGAAGGAGAAAGGAAGAAACAGAGGAAAGATATCAGGCCAAAGAACTCCTAAATCCTGTAGGGAAGAGAAACTGGCTACACATATCCAGTATATACAGCATTCAAATCAAGTGTCATGCTTTAGATACCTTAGACAAGAAAGAAAAAACAGATAAAAAATGCTCATGGAGCCGAGCCTGGTGGCGCACACCTTTAAACCCAGCACTAGGGAGGCAGAGGCAGGCAGATCTCTGTGAGTTCAAGGCCAGCCTGGTCTACATAGTGAGTTCCAGGCCAGTTGGGGCTACAGGGAGACCCTGTTTCAAAAAAGATCCCCCCAAAAAACTGCTCATGGAAGTTCAGTTCAGGTTCTTTCAGGATGTAAGGCTGAGTAGAAGCGTTTCCTGTTCTTTGCTGATTTCCTGGGATTTCAAAGTTTCAAAAGAACTTCTGATATGAGCCTTACTTTATCAGCAGTATCTCCTGTCTCAGTTCTGGGAGAACTTCCCACCCACAAGACAGTGGCTAAATACCCTAATCTGCTTCATCAAGGCTGAGAACTTAATCTCCAGAATCAGGACAGCATCTGTCCTTGTCCCCTTTATCTGGACCAAACAGAAACAGAAGAGTTTAATGAAGGAAAAGAAGGGTCCAAGAGAATAAAAAAGCATGAGTCTAAAGACTAATCAACAGTCAAAAAGGGTGACCAGTCCCCATTAAAACCACAAACATAGCTCTAAATTGTGCCTCAAGACAGTAGGAGTCTTCTTAATGATATGTGAATAAACCAGAGACACAATCTTTTAATTTTTTTTTTTTTCTTTTTGAGACAGGGTCTCCCTGTAGTCCCAGCTGAGTTTGAACTCACAACGATCCGCCTGCCTCTGCCTCCCAAGTGCTGGGACTAAAGGCGTGCGCCACCACACCCGGCATTTATTTTTTTTATGTGTACGAGTATATTGCCTGCACGTATACAAGTGCACCCATGTCATGCAATGTCCACGGAGGTCAGAAGAGGGTGTCGGATCCCCTGGAACTGGAGTTTCGGATACTTGTTATCTAGGTGCTGGGAATCAAACCTGGGCTAGTTTTTCAAAATCAACCATTCATTTAAAAAATTTAAAGTTGGGGGCTGGAGAAATAGCTCAGAGGTTAACAACTCTGCCTGCTCTTGCAGAGGAATAGGATTCAGTTCCCAACACCTACATGGCAGCTAACAACCACCCATAACTCTAGTTCCAGGGGATCTGACACCCTCTTCTGGCCTCCACAGGCTTTGCATGCATGGGGTGCACTTGCATACATGCAGGCAAAACACTCATACACGTAAAATAAAAATAAAACAAAATTTTCAATTTAAAGTAAATGCTTACATGCAATGTGCAATGAATTCTTGTTTCTCTTTACTGGCTGTGCACAATTGGAAGACAAAATAATAAAGCCAGAGTGAAGACAGATTTCAAAATCAAAACCCTTCAGCCATAGTCCTAAACTATTAACAAATCAAGTCAGCAATAATGCTTATTTCTCTTAGTTCTTTGGTTCACAGAGGAAGTTCTGGTATCTTGGCATGAATTGGAATAGAATATTAGAAGGAAGAGTATCTGCAGGGCCCAACTCCAAAGCCTAACCTAGGTTCCTTAAGAGGGAGGGAGAGACACTGAAAACTAGTCATCCAGGTCAGAGCCCCGCCCTAGTACTTAGCTGTAGCTTCAATTTCCGCCTGAGGAAGAAGAGAAAGGGTGACTCACTTCACTCCTACAGCCTGAGAAGATAATTATAAGGGGAAAATAAATTAAATCTTTAGAACACAGATGTGCTCATGATTTAAAGTTTCTAGAACTGGTCACTGTAGCTACTGTGGCCTCTAGAATGTCTGAAAGAAATAAACAAGGCTACCTTCCATCCCAAAGTAAAATGAGTAAGAATGAGTTATCAGTGTCCCTCATCTCCCAAGCCCAGCCTAAATGCTGATCTTTCTTCTTTTTTCCATTTGTTTGTTTCTTGAGACAGGGCTTCATGGTTGTAGCCTATGCAGGTCAGCAGCTCTCTACATATCCCAAGCTAGAAAGCTTTGGCACTCCTGATCTCCCCCCTCACCCCACCCCAAAACCTGGTTCAGCTCTTAGATTCCACCCTTTCTTCAGTTTCATTTCCAAACAAAACCACTCACCCAATTCCTTGGGTATCCTGCCAAACTTCACCTCTACAACTTCTATCAGCACATCTCAGTGAAGTGTGTCATTGTGAACTGAGTTCCAGTATCTATTGCCAAAATAAAGTCTGCCCCTACAGTAGCAGAATCTCTAAGTGATTCAAATAACTCAACTTCATCAGCAGTATTTGCACCTAGATTCACAGCCCTGCTTCTAGCCTTAGCTAGCTGAAGGAGCACTCCACCAAGGAGAGGCATTTGTGAATAAGCCTGCCTACCACAATCCATATTCTGTTTGGCTTGAGGAAAAGCATTCTGTTGCTTTAGCACTTTGCCAGATTCTGAGGTGACCATCCCAAGTGGCCTGTCTGAATCTGTTGCCTTTGATGGAGAGAGATGAAGCCAGAGCTGGGGAGAGGAGTTAGGGCTTGTCCTTAGCCCTATAGCAATAATCACAGAGCATGAGAGGTTTAAGGGAGTGGCTGTAGCCCAGAAGGCTGACTCATAGATGGGATTCCCAGACATAAACCACCCTAGGTAGAACAGGTTCTTCTGCCCATCCATTCATTACTACTATTTTCAATGCCAAATAAAATCTGAAGTGGGGGTTTCAATATTCACTCTCCTGAAACCGTGTTCCCTAGCATTTCTAGCCCATCCAACTACTAAAACAAAACAAACAAAAGGCTAAATTCCTAGAAAGAAAAAGTCAATCAAGAAGCTCTGGATTCTAATCCTGCCTCAATTCATAGGAAACTCTTAAGTTTGTTAATTTAGCTGCATAATACAGACATGAAAAAGAACAAGAATGTCTAAAAAGATCCTAGAACTCTCTTTAAACCAGCATGGTAAACTGAAGAGTCACTAGATAGAAGATAACAAGCAAACAGGATCATCAGTGTCATCATCAATTATCATCCCAGCTCCCCTATCTGAGGTATTTGGGATTGAAGGACACTTAAAACAGAGGGCCTGAGCTCCTAAAGAACAGGCCTGTGCATTCCACCCATGCTTAGCATACTGCCTGAGCATATGTCTAGCGTTTCCTGGTGAGAGAAGGCTGGTATGAATGCCCTATTTCCTGCCTAGAACTTTATCTAGGACTGCTTTCTTCAAGATCCTATGAGAAAAAAATTTGTCCCCATATAGGTGTTTTCTCTTAAAACAGTTGTTTTGTAGTACATCTGTAACCAGGACTCTGCAGCAACTGAACTATGTATGCTGTAGGACCTGGGCACTTATTCCTGTGTGAGGAAAACCATGTGGGAAGGAAAGAACAACCTTACTGCTCAACTAATGCCCTAAATCACGTGGGCTGTTCCCACTCAAATCAGCTGCTAGCACAGTTACAGAAGGGGGGGGGCACAGAAGTTGCCCAACTCTGTGGGTAGAAAGGTTGGAAGCAACCAGAGGCAGAAACTGAAAGGAAGCATGCTATGCCGTAGATGGGCCACTGGAAAGACCATCTAGATTTCTACCCTTTCATTCTACCCTGAGAAGATAGTGAAGCAGAAATCCCACCCCCTACTTTCCTTTCCCCCAGCTTCAGAAATGGGAAAATGAGGGTCTGGAGAGATGGCTCAGTAGTTAAGAGCACTAGGTGCTCTTGCAGAGGACCCAGGTTCAGTTCTCAGCATCCACATGGCAGCTCACAATCATCTGTAACTCCAGTTCCAGGGAATCTGACACCCTCTTCTGGTCTTTATGAGCAATGTATATGCATATGTACACACATGCATGTAGGCAAAACACCCCTATACATAAAAATAATCCCTTATCAGCCTCTTAATGAGAAATGGAAAAAAAAAAAAAAAAAAAAAAAAAAAGATCCCAGAAAAGCAAAGGAAAACACAAAGTGGCTGGGCCCCTGCATATTAGCCTTATTTGAATCACAGCATCCCTACTTTTTATGCTTTATGTACCAGAATTCCATCTAAGACACCATTTGGAAAAGGTTCACAGCAGATTAAATGAACTGCTCTAGGTCAACTTCCTATTGTGGACAGAAAGGAAGAACTGAGGTCCACAAAGGTTAACAGAGACTTTACCAAACTCAGTCTTCTGACCTCCAAACACTATGCATCCCACTTACCTAGTATTATTCCCTACTAGCCACAAAAAAAGGTACTAAAGCCAGGGGTGATGGCACACACCTTTAATCCCAGTGCTTGAGAGGCAGAGGCAGGTGGACCTCTTAAAGAGTTCAAGGCTAGCCTGGTCTACACAGTAAGTTCTAGGCCAACCAGGACTACATAGTGAGACCCTGTCCTACAAAAATAAAAGGAAGCAACTATGGTGGGACCCAGATGCATCATCTCCAGAACTACCGACACAAGGTCTAGTACCTAACTGGGAACAGATGGATTTACTTCAGCAGATACGTTTTTACCCAAACAGTGAAAGGGCAAATAAATTAAGGCAGGATGCTCACCCACTCCAGTTTAGTTTCATTACTAAAGGAACCAAATGAATGAGAAGGATTAGATGCAGTTATGGGAGGGAAAACCTCAATTGCTCTTTTCAAATTTCTCTGGGGCAGAAGAGCATCACTATTTCTTTGATAAACAAATCCAACTGGTAGTTTCTACTCCTAGCTTTCCCTACTTAAAGAAACATAGAAGGGAAACTGCTCCTAATTAGTTAAAACCTACATGCCTCCATTAATTATGTCTCCCAACTGAAAGGTACTCTTCTTCCTACTCCCAGTCCTCTAGATCCCACAGTAATTCCCACCTGGGGCCTACAGTGATTTCAGAGCCACTTGTAGCCTAGTGAAGACAACAGGAGGATAACAGCATAGTCACAGATATAAGGCCCCATTTAGAAGCTGGTTCAGAAAGAGCCTTCCTCTTGCCTCTCCATGTGAAGTCATAAGCTCTTTTTCATGTGGTACACAGCTTTAAACAGTTTTCCTTGGGAAATGAACCTCAAAGAGGGTAGAATCCACGAAGGAACAGTTTTTGAAAATAGTGGTGCCTCAGCTTAGAAGTATGCTTATAGAGAAGACACTATGGTTAGATGAAAAAGAAACAAGACATTCGGAGGCACCTACAGCTGGGTGACAAAGTAAGATAAACAGGGAGCATCTCCACTGGGTGAACAGGTGAGACCTTAGGGAGAAAAGGGAGCCCAGAAATAGAGCTGTGGAAACTAATGACAGGGAGACCCTTCATCTATGAGTTAAGGCTCTCCTAACTTTGTATCAGAAAATTCTGAAGAAAATCAGTAATGTCCTCCAAAGTCTTCTTTCCCAGGCTAGGGATGTAGAATACTTACCTAGCATTCACAAGTCCCTGGGTTCAGTCTCCAGGACCACAAAACACTTTCCTACTATAGCTGACACAGTCTGGAATAAAGAGGCCCCTACTTTACTGGCACCAGAGATGAAAAAGCAGGTTAAATGGTTTCAACTATCAGTTAAGAAAATACCTATGACAACTCTTTGTGGGCAAACTCGTATAACCAGCCAAGCACTTCAATGGTTCCAGATTAACAAATTAGGAATACGGATTCTGTATACCCTACCTCAAGAACAGTATGAAAGAGAGAAATCATTTGCTCCCCTGAATATTTTAGCTAGTATGAAAAGCTTGACTCTCAAAAGGAAATAGGGATTCCTATCAAGCAGGTCTGAAAGTGTTAAAATGATCTAGCTACATCTCTCTTAACGCAACACAACTGCTGTAGGATACAAAGATATAAACATCTCTTGGTTAAAATTTTGATTCTGGGGGGCTGGAGAGATGGCTCAGCGGTTAAGAACACTGACTGTTCTTGCAGAAGACCTGGGTTCAAATCCCAGCACCCACATGGCAGCTAACAACTGTCCGTAATTCCAGTTCCAGGGGATCCAACAGCCTCTTCTGTCCTCCAAGGGCATTGCACAACACAGGTGCACTTACCTGTATATGCAGGCAATACATACATACACATAAAAAATAAAAATAATAAAATATTTTTTTTAACTTTTTTAGCCCAGCATGGTGGCGCATGCCTTTAATCCCAGCACTTGGGAGGCAGGGGCAGGTGGATCTTTGTGAGTTTGAGGCCAGCCTGGTCTATGTAGTGAGTTCCAGGACAGCTGGGGCTACAGAGAGACCCTGTCTAAGAAAGACCAAAAAAAAAAAAGATTTTTTTTTTTTTATTCTGTTCCTTGGCCAACAGCAAAAACCAAAACATGTTCTGACACTCAGAGTCACTCCTTCTTTTGCTAGTCAATACATGAAGGACAGAACACAGACTATGAAATAGGGTTCTGTTGAGACCCTTAGGGACCTGGTAAGTATACTCCGGTTGTAGGCAGGAGCCTAAAGACGCCATTCAAGGAAAAACTGTCATACGTTAGATTTAAAAAGCTGATGCTCATACTTTAGATTTCATTCTTGTTTAAAAGCTAGCCACATACTTGGGAGGTAGAGACAGGATGGCCATAAGTTCAAAATCATCCTAGGCTACATAAGCAAGACTCTCTGAAACAAAACAAATACTAGAAAATGGAACATCAGTAGCACCTTTGCTAACTCTTTCCGTCAAGTGACCCGCATTTTGAATTCCTTTTGGCATCTGAATATCAGTTTGTGGGTTTTTCCTCCCCTCCTAATTCACATTTACTTTCTGTGTAAACTGTCCCTACCCCAATAATTTCTGCTTCAGTCTAAATCACTTTACTTCACTATCACTTCCTCTTCCCAGCAACCTTCCGTTGTTTGGAACAGCACCTCCCAATCATGTATAAGCCTAACCCTTGTCAAAGTGAACTTTCCAGAAGATCTTGCATTCCCTGATCACTCTAAGAGCTACAACTGGAGTGTAACTGCTAACTCAATGACTCAACATTATAAAGCTCAGAAAGCTAGTACATGTTCATATAAACTGGAAACAGAAAAGATACTTTCGAGATGGCCACAGCTATACACTGGGGACAGGAGAAAAGGTAAATTGCACAGTCTCCTCCAGTATCTCCTCCAATAAAGCAAGTAGACAGAGTCTTAAGACCCTAACTGAGAAGGCCAGCTAGCTCCTAGACCCTAAGTGAGATACTTCAATGTCAATTACTTTTCGAAACAGAATTAATGAACACAAGCGCTCCCATTCCCTTCAGCAGGAACTAGGTAGAGACTCTATTCCTGTTTTCTTCCTAAATTAAGCCTGTTCTTTCCCAGAAGCTTTCACATCTCCATGCATTACCTCTTACAAGTACAGAGAAAATCATCTGAGCAACACTAAAAACCAAAACTGTCTCACTGGTTCTTTTTTTTTTTTTTTGGTCGTTTTGAGACAGGGTCTCCCTGTAGCCACAGCTGACCTGGATTCCCTATGAAGACCAGGCTGGCCTCAAACTCTCAGTTTCCCTGCCTCTGCCTCCCAAGTGCTGGGATTAAAGGTGTGTGCCACCATGCCCAGCTTCACTGGTACATCTTAAATCAATTCTCACAGTACTCAGAAGACTAGGGCAAGTGGAGCATGAACTTAAGGCCACCCTGGGCTATATAGCAAGAAATCTGTCTCAAAATTCTCAATTCTCAGGCTGGGTGTGGTAGCACACACCTTTGATCCCAGGAGTTCGGAGGCAGAGGCAGGGGGATCTCTGTGAAGACCAGCCTGGTCCATATAGTGAGTGCAAGGTCAGTCATTGCTACATAATGAGACAGTCTCAAAAGAAAAAAAAAAATTAAAAAATTAACAACAACAAGAACCTCAATTCTCAAAACCAATTCTTTCCAAGTACGGTAGAACAGACCTATAATCCCAGAACTCAGGAGCCAGAGGCAAGAGGATTGACACAAGTTTGAGGCCAGCCTGGCCTACTTAGGGAATTCCAGGTCAACAAGGGAAGCATAATACCCTGTCTCAAAAAAAAAAAAAAAAAAAAAAAAAAAAAAAACACAGTCAAACTTGGTGGTGTACAACTTTGATCCTAGCATGTGAGAGGCAGAGGCAGGCAGACCTCTGAGAGTTGGTGGCCACCCTGGTCTACATAGAGTTCCAAAAACAACCAGAGCTACACAGTGAGGCTCTGTCCCCAAAAACTTATTTTATAAAAAAATGTGAAGTTCCTACTTCCTATTTTAATATCATCTAGTGATGGAAATAGATAGGAAAACATGAAGACATCTGATTCCAAACGAGGGAAGCAGAGGAAAAGTAGAAACCTCAACAGAGTAAGGGCAGGCTTTGTTAACAACTAGTAAAACTAAACAGAAGCCAGTCTTTCACTTTCCATGGGAGTGCCCCTCACCCTCCCATCCAGACACAGCACCTGGGAGAGAACTCACGTAAAGGCAAAGAAGAGCGTCGTAGCTCCCACTAGGAAGATGGCAGCTGCTGAGACCGGTACATACTTGCTGGGTTTGAATCTCTTTCCAGACTCTGCCGGCATGTTGGAGCTCTGATGGAAGATGTGCCCTGCCGCATAGCCCAGGCCCACACAGCGGCAGAACAGACAAGAAAATGGGATGAGGGAAACAGAGAGAAAAGAAACTGGGGAAAACAGAAAACGTAAAATTATCACCCTTCCCCCTCCCAAATAAAAACAAAGGTCAAAAGATCTCAAATGAAGGAAAGCACATGGGAGGGGGAAAGGTGATTTCAACTGATGAATAACCACCACCCCAGAACAGACAAGGAGATTAAGAAACACAACTTGTACAGTTTAAAAATTGGAGACAAACAGTAGGCTGTACACATGCAAACAGTTGCAGGTGGAAAACATGGAGAGTCAGACAGATCAAAGTACAGCTCATGGATGGAGGCAGGTCTTCAAAAGGAGAGGAGAGACTATCAGGATAGGGCAGGAAACTTTAAGCAAACAATAATTCTTCTGCGGAGATACACGAAAACCTCCACAACTACCACACGTCCACAAAATATGAGCTGCACCTAGAAGAGGTGTGCCCTGGGCTATGTTAATCCAAGAAAAAACCTGCAGTCCCTTCCAGCCTTAGAGAGATGCTGTTTGAACTGCAGTTCTTGTCTGTCTTCAGCAGCCTTCTCAATGCCACCACCACTCCCACACCTTGACTTCACCAGGACTGGCAGTCTGGCAACGGTGACTTAATTTTATTTATTTTTCTCTTGATGGCCAAAGCTGGACAACAGCTGTCACAAGGTTGAGTTGTAAATCCTTTTCTTTGAAGGGGGAGAGAAAACAGCTAGCAATACTGTCTGTTTCCAACCTTTTCTTGTTATTCCCAGGCCCTTTAAGGGCTCCGTTTTCTATCGAGTTCATGCAAAACTAAAGAGAAACTTAAAATCCTTGAAGCCATATTCTTTCCAATAAGCAGAATAAGATGAAGAACTAAATTCCACTTGATGCTAGTTTAAAAGATTATTGTAGATAAAAACAAAATTCCAAAGATGTCCCTGTTTCCAAGTAAGTCAATGTCTCTGATCTTTTGTCTTCAATCTTGGGCTTCCTGGATGCAGAGTTCAACCAGGTTATGGTGCTTTACCTGGAGAAAACCAAATATCTTTATCAAAGAAGTTCTTTCAGGGCATTTCTTAAGAACATCAAGGCTAAAACCCCAGAGTCAAAAAGTGCTTTTTAAAGAAAAGACCATTTTCCACATGCGTGTGTGTATGTGTGTGTGTGTGTGTGTGTGTGTGTGTAAGAACTTTAAACGGAGAGGAAAATAAATTCAGAGTCCTTTATCTTTCTAAGTGCCATTATGACTGGAAGGAGAACACAGCTTTATCTGGCCTAAGGTCATCAGAAGACTAGCTCTTATAAGAAGCCCATCTCTCTTAACAAAAGGACAGTAACAAATACCAAGAATATAAAAATCTAAAAACAAACAAGGGCACAGCAGTGAAGGGCACCACTAGAACAGAGATTTCTCTTTGGACAAAAGAGAATATTTATTGCTACAATGAAAAAAGTAATCTCAAAATTTGGGCTGGAGAAATGGCGCAGCTGTTAAAGGCTAAGACTTAACCAAAACGTCAAAATTAGGAGAGTGAGTCTTATTTCCTTTCTGTATGTGTCTCTAAGTCTACACCTTTGAGCTGTAACACTTAAGAGGCAGAAGCTACATTTTCGGCCTTTTGGACTATCTATTAAGGGACATAGGGCAAGAAATGATCTCTTACCAAAAGGTAAAATGCTCCCTGAGAAACAGTCCACTAAAGGGCTTGGTCCTTTTCTTCCCAATTCAACAGTTTTTAATTCTTAACACTGGCCTATTAAGAAGTAAACTGAGCTCCACCTAACCCAATATGATTATGAGTAGCAATTATTTCTGCTGATCACAGTAACAAAACAACACCAGCACCTTAATTTTATAGGGTGCTCTTCATCTGGTGATCTCAAAGCACTTTACTCACATTATCTGGTGACAGAGTCCCTTATCCTGCTCTGTAAAATTGGAGGCCAGAGCAAGCCTAAGGCCATTCCACTGAATCACCTGAGCAGCCAAGTTCAGAACTCAAGATTATATCATCTGTCCCACTGCTCACAGAAACTTCTTTCTCTTTCTCATCTACCACACTACATGCCCAATGATAACCTGAAACCTATAGACCAAATTTTTACTTGTTAGAATTTCAAAAGAAAGCAGTTCCATTCCCCACAATAGTATCCTACAATACAAAAAGCAGGTATTACCAGAAGATTCAGATAATGAAATTAAGTATTTGCTGGAATTTACCACCTCTCTCACCTAAGGTAAGGAAAGCAAGGGGGCCTTCAAGTCACCAGCTCACACAATCAGGGTTTGAGAGGGGCAGACAGCATTAGACTAAAGACCCAGAGTTTTTACAGTCCTAAAAAACATAGCTCCTCTTTTAATTCTGATTTTATGATCATTTCTGTTTCCTAAATGTAGGCCTAAGTACCTTTGTTAACAGTAACAAGCAAATTCTTGACCTGTAGACAGCAGGATTAGGCAAAATAATTTCCTCAAAACTCCAAAGATTAAAGAAGGAAAATTACACTAAATTTTATGTAGAGTTAGACTATTACTTAGAACCATATACTATTTCAGATCATGATTTTCTACAGGATAAAAGCCACACAGACTAATACTGCCAGAGTACAGCAGTCATGGAAGGCCATGGGGACATCAATTCTGGGATATAAATGAGATTGTCATGTGAGATGTTAGGGGTATTAGAACGGCCAAGATAAAATAAAAATGTACTGGATATACATATAAACACACTAAGTCTTACCACTTTGCTGCAGACAGTAGGGGTGAAATCAAAAAGGTGAGTGCACCTTTTTGTATCAGTCACACGCTGATGGATACATACCAGTATCAGCAAAGTGCACAAAAATGTGTATGACAAGGCAGAGGGAAAATCAGAGTGAAAACAAGTATGATTGAAACAAACAATACAGGATATGGTTTGAAGCCTTTGATAAGGTTTGAGTACTTCCTTAAAGGAGTAAATGGACAGGAGCAGAACCCCAACGGCATACATACAATTTGTCGAAATAAATTAGTGTGACAGTATAACACAGTAAACAAATACACTGTAATGGGGTTGCCATGGAATAATCCACATCAAGCTGTAAGGGAAAGATCCAAGCAGAAGTTTAATACGAATATTATCTACAGAGGCTGAGGTACTAAAGTACACGTCAACAGAATTCTTACAAACATTATTGGGTTTCTGTATGAAAATGGGCACTGAGGAGATTTGATACAGGGCAGATAGATACTGCGATAAAAGGATGGAGATGCAAATCTAAGATTATCCTGGACAAAATGGCATTAACCAGGAAATAAAAAGTACAAAGCACAAAAATGGTCTGCAGTGTAACATGTATCTGATTCAACAACTGCTTCCATTAACTTTAAGTCACTTTCTTGTTTCTTTTTTCAGTGTTTTCATTTGGCCAATGGGTTAAAAGACTTTCAACCCCCCAAAGAGATTCCTATAGATAAAATATTGGCAAACACAGTCAAGCTCCATTTGTTTTTAAAAAAAAAAAAAAAAAAAAGTACAAAGTACTGAAAGCATGGAGCACCTGACCGGAGGAGGGCAGGGGGAAGCAGCAGATGGATGGGAGAGGGAACAGGTTAACAACAGGATCAAGCTCGAGCCAAAATAAGTATCAGCAGAGTGTGGGGCGAAGAGACCCGAGCTGCAGAGCGGTCAAAGGGGAATAGCACCCAGTCCCCACCCCGCAGCTGGAGCAAGGAGTCAACGCAGGGGCAGAGCTGCCCGCCGCGGGGCCAGGAAGCAGGAGCTCCACAGCAGCAGGGCCCACCGAGCTCAGCCGAGCCGCCTGGGGGCGAAAGGGGCGGCGGCTGGGTCCCGGGAGCCCAGGACCAGTCCCTGAGCGGGGCTGCCCGGCAGGAACCGGTTCCGGGCCCCGGCGGCCGTGGGTCTCCGGCCTCTGCGGCCGTCCGTATCGGGGCCCACAGGTCCCGCAGCAGTCGAAAGAGCCGGCCTCAAGAAGGAATGGGCCCTTAACCTCCTCCCCTCCTCGGTCCCCCTTCCCTAGAGGTCACGCTCCCCTCCCACCTCACTGGCCAGCACTTCCGGTTCCGCAGGGGCCGGTGTCCCCGGTACTCACCCCGGTGCGGTACCCGTCACCGCCGCCGTCGTTGTCGCTGCCGCCTGCCAGCAGTGCTGTCCGGCCTCTGAGAGGCAGCGCGCGGCCCCCGCACGCTCCACACCCGCCCCGCTCTCGCGCGCTCCCGACGGCCGACGCTCGCTTCGAGCCGGCGCGCGGCCCGTGCCCTCAGCCCTGGGTCTCCGGCCCTCCCGGCGTTCCCATTGGCTCCCAAGCTCGGGCGCGCGCGACGTGTCGCGCGGGGCACGTTCTTCTCATTCATGCGGCTTGCGCCGCCCCGCCCGCCCCCGCTCACTCTCCCATTCACCACCCCCCCACACCCCCACCCCGACTCCGCTCTAGGGCGTGCGCGCGCACCCCAGCGACCGCGGCGACCTCGCGTTCTGATTGGCTGTGGGAGCACAGCGCCGTAGGGACGCCAGGACACGGGGACGCGCGCGTAAGGCCGTGTGGTTCCGCCGCCGAGTGGGACAAGGGGACCAGCGACCTGCGCAGGGTGGGGATCGCGGAAGTAGCCGAGCGAGTCTTTTCTGTTCCTGTGTTCTCTTCCCTGTTCCTAAATGTATCCAAGAGGAAACCTTCAGGAAAGAAATTATGCGTGTGCGCCGGAAGTGCTCAAAAACAAGTGGATACCCGCTCTTGACTCAAGCCTCCCCCTCCCCCGAGTGAGTGTGGTACAATCCAGACAGGCTTCTAGGGTAGCCAATCAGGCTAGGCCTTGCCGGCTTCTTGCCTTGCGTCTTTGCTCATTGGCCAACCGCATGAGGACTAGATCGGGCTTCCCCTCTGTCGTCCTTATTTTGTCTGTTTTTTAGTGCGAAAACGTTATTTAAAACAGTCTGGTAATCTATTGGCGCGGTCGTCCATTGGACAAGTACCCTAGAGTTGCCACAGGACTCCTGGGTGTTGCTATGGTTTGGGCTGTGACTCAACCTCGCACATGGAAGGAGGAGGCGGCAGGACTACAAGAGCAGTGTAAAGCGCTTGCCAAGGGCCGGGAAGAAGCTGGAGAGCGGCTGCCAGCCTCTGGAGCCATGGTGCCAGCGGTGGGAGTGCGCGCTGTGCTACGCGCCCGCCCTCCACTACGACACGGGAAGGGGTGCCTTAACTTCACCCAAATTGAGAAAACAGGCTGCAAAGAAAAGGCTTTCTAGAATAGCTCCTGTCCCTGGCGAGCTGCTGGTCAACTCCCCGTAGTTCTCTGCGCTACACTTTGCCCTAATTAGCCCGGGACAGCTGTGGACCCTCTAGCATTGCCACCTGGTCTCCTCATTCAGCTCCAGGCTGTTTCTCTTGCAAGTAGCTCTGTTACATAACAATCCTTCAAAAAGGTGTCCCACCAGCACTTCTCCAATGTGATTCCAAATCCTGCCGTTGTCTCCTCTGGGTTGACTTCAAATGTTGCTGACTTCATTGTGATTCTGATAAGTTTAGCGTTAGGCAACAACGAAAGAAAGAAGTCCACTTTTTGTTCTTTAGGGTTTAGTCTATTTCCTCCTGTGACCTGGCATATATTATGGTGTATTTCAATCTTGCTCCTGCCTGCAATCCAGCATTTATTGCAACCTATGAGTTTATACTATTTTAAGTCTCTAGCTGTATAAAAGATAAAGTATTAGGTGGACCTACAATGTTTATCTTATCAAGTATATTTTCTATCTGTGACGTCTTAAGATGAGTCCAATATTTCTGTTGTGTATTTTTTTTTAGATTTTAGAGCTGATTTTCTCACTTCACAAATTAAGCATTTTTATTTATTTCATCTTCAGTATTTTGTGTGTCTGTGTGTGTGTGTGTGTGTGTAAATCAGAAGACAACTTTCAAGAGTTGGTTCTCTCCTGGGTTCCAGATACTGAACTCAAGTCGTCAAGCTTGCCCAGCAACCTTTACACACTGAGCCATCCTGCCAGCTTAATTTTTCTACTTTTGGCTTTGACTAAGAACCTGTGTGAACAGTGATGTCTCTTGACTAGACAATACTAAATGAAAATGCCTTCCATCATCCAACCAGGGGTACTGACTACCCCTTGGTCACTAGGGGCATTAAACTGCTGGATTGCCAAGGTGACTTTTAGCTGGATGAGCACTAACAGAAGCATGCATAATCACTGCCCAAGGTTTTAACAAAGATTCCATTTTCTTGTCCCATTTTCCCAAGCATCTTCCAATGTGTATCCCAAAAAGAATGTTTAATAGAAGATAACTTGAAAACTGAAAAGTAGTCCAGGGGAAAATGTAGACTTAAAACAGTAAGATATCCAGATCCTTATGCTTAAAATGAACTACTTTTGATATGTTTATCAAGTAATACCTGATGTAGAGTCGCTTGTAGTTCAATTTAGCAAAGATGCTTTTTCTTAACCACTAACAAATATGTTTAACCTTTTCATGTTGAAATACTATCTGCCCTCCTGTCCTCATGAAATATGTTTGAAGCTGGGAATGATGCTCAGTGGCAGCATTTGGGCTCAGCATCTGCAAGGCCCTGAGTTCAATTCTTGGTACACCCACCAAATCTGCTGTGTCCGTAAGTCCTCGTTTTGTGGATCCAACTCCTTTCACTGCAGCACTGTCTTCCTAGTGTGGCCATTTTACATATTTATTTTGTGAGGGAGTGGAGGTACACACATACCACAGCACAGGTGTGGAGGTCAGAGGGCAACTTGTGGGAGTTGGTTCTCTCCAGGTTGTCAAGTTTGACAAGTGCCTTTATCTGCTATCTCTCCAGCCCTCCACCCCCTTTCTTAACAATGCTTCTTGAAAGACCTGTCAGCACTTACCTTTGTCAGTTTACTTTACCTTTTCAGTCTGTTTTGGTAGGGCTTGTCTAACCATCATTCCAAGACTACACTTTGCCAGGTGGAGCACACCTTTAATATCCCAGTACCCAGGAGGCAGAGACAGGTAGATCTCTATGAGATCAAGGCCAGCTGGAGGTATAAAATAAACCTGTCTCTGAAAAAAAAAAAAGACTAGACTTTTCAATATCACTACTGATAGAGCCTCATGCGCCTAGATCCATGGTAAAGTCTCCTTTTCTTTCTTTTGTGGCAGTGCTGAGAATCAAATCCGAAGCCTCATGCTTTTTAGACAATAGCTGCACCACTAAACTACATCCAAAGCCATTTTGGCCTCTTCGTTCCAACCTCTACTTCCTCATTTTCACTTACACAGTACCTAAATTAGATAATACTACTATTTTGAATCCTTTCTGTAGGTCAGTAGCTGTCATGAACTTCTAGTCCTAACCTTCCCTAACCCTCCGTATGCAGTCTATACTGTATCTCCAGATGACTGAGTAATGGTTCAAACTTTATCAGTGCCAAAATATACTCAATTGATAGTCCCACAGTCAATCTAGTTGATTGAAAAAAAAAAAAAAAAGCTGGTTCATGCCTGTAATCCCAACACTTGGGATAGTTGAAAGAAGGAGAATCTCTTATGCCGGTGTGGTGGCGCACACCTTTAATCCCAGCACTCAGGAGGCAGAGGCAGGGGGGTCACTGAGGTCAAAACCAGCCCGGGCTACATAGTTAGTTCCCGGACAACTGGGGGTACAGGGAGAGTCTGTCTCCAAAAAACCAAAAAAAAAAAAAAAGAGAGAATCTCAAGTTTGAGACCAGTTTGGGTTACACAGTGAGACCCTGTCTGTGTTTGTGTGTGTACATATGTCATAAGCGATATATATATGGGCTGGAGAGACGGCTCAGCAGTTAGGAACACTCACTGTTCTTGCAGAAGACCCAGGTTCGAATCCCAGCACCCACATGGCAGCTAACAACTGTCTGTAACTCCAGTCCGAGGGGATTCAACAGCCTCTTCTGTCTTTTAGAGAAAGACTGACTAGATGGCTCAGGTTCAATGGGTAAAGGTACCTGGCTGTACAAGCCATCCCCAGAGCTCCACACACATATATCATGCACATACATACACAGAGTAATTAACAAAACTAAAGCTTTTTAAAAATCTAGGTGTGGCACATCCTGTAATGCCAGCACTTGGGAGATGAGGCAGGAAAATCTCAGGCTGTGTAGAAAGACTGACTAGATGGCTCAGGTTCAATGGGTAAAGGTACCTGGCTGTACAAGCCATCCCCAGAGCTCCACACACATATATCATGCACATACATACACAGAGTAATTAACAAAACTAAAGCTTTTTAAAAATCTAGGTGTGGCACATCCTGTAATGCCAGCACTTGGGAGATGAGGCAGGAAAATCTCAGGCTGTGTATTTGACAGTAAACCTTGTCTCAAAGAACATGCATACACAAATAACTAGATGTCCTTGATTCCATTTTCTTTATCACTCTGAGCAAGTCCTATCTCCATCTTACTTTCAAAATACCCCAAAGCACAGATGGTAACACTCACCAGCCCCATTTCTGCTGCCTTAGTCCTATCCCCCATCACATCACACCTGAAACTGCCACAAAAATATCCTCTTGTGTCCTTGCTTCTCCGGAAGCCTGCTCTCTGCAATAACTCTCCACACAGCAGTGATCTCTTCAAAACGCAAAGTGGGTCATTAAAAAGGAATTAATATGGAAGTGGGAAGGGGGACCACTGGAAGGGGACAGTAGGGGATGGGGCAGAGAATCAACCAAATCTGAGTGTACAAAAACACCATAAGGAAACCTGTCACATAGTAAAATGGATCCTGCCAATCCTCTCCCAATCACCTTTGCTCCATGATCCCCCACTGCTTAAGATAAAACCCACTCCAGTCTGATTTATGAACACCATACTTTATCTTTCCAGCTCCCTCCAGCCTTACCTTTACCATCTCCTTTGTTTGGGCCTTTTCCTTCACTAAACTCGGCAAGCTCTTTAGCGGGACTTTGCAGATTCCTCCATCAGGAAGCTTTTGCAAAAGCATCACTTGGGGTTTTCAGGTCTCACTCAACATGTAAGCTCAGGACAGGACTTACCTGACAATCCTATCTAAAGCAGTCGCCATTCCTCTACCCCATATCCCCAAATTTAAGCATCTATTAGCACTTACCTTTTTTAGTCTTTCATTGCAAGTTCCATAAAATCTATCTTGTTCCCCACCTAGAACAGTTCCTGACAAAGAGTATGTATGTGTTCAGTACAGAGTTGTAGGAAGAAGCCCAGCCTGGTGGTGCACGTCTTTAATCCCAAACTCGAGAGGCAGAGGTAGGTGGATCTCTGTGAGTTTGAGGCCAGCCTGGTCTATATAGGGAGTTCCAGGTCAGCTGAGGCTATAGAGAGCCCCTGTCTCAAAAAGAAAAAGTTATAGTAAGAAGGAATGGATACGTTTATTAGATAGTTTTTAAATAATCCAGCTCCAGCTGGGAATACATTTATTGAATGCTTATTAAATAATCCAGCTCCAGCCAGGCATGGTGGCACATGCCTTCAATTCCAGCACTCTACATAGTGAGTTCCAGGCCAGCTGGGGCTACAGGGAGATACTGTCTCAAAAAAAGACCAAATCATCATCATCATCATCATCATCATCATCATCATCCAGTTCCAAACTAGGAACACCAAAATGGGCTTTCTCAGCTTCCAACCACTGAAAACTCTAGTTATATTTTGACTTAGAAACAGGTTCCAGTCAAAATAGACAAGAATGACAGATGACAGTAAGAACAGAGAAAAGGAGTTATCTCTAGATCTGAAACTCTTCCCAAGGTTATGACTAGTCTCTAATCTCCAGAGCATACACAGCACTGAAAACAGATTTACCATTAAGCACAGAGGAGAAAACCATTATAGGAACCTGGCTCACAGGTGGGCTGTTTCCCCTCCTCTTAGCATCTCACCAGCAAAATCATTCCAGCAGCTGCCCTGTAATGCTTAGGGGGGGTGAAATGAAATTTACAAATTCATACCAACTTCTGTGATATGGCAAAAATATTTATTAAAATAACTTTTCAAGTTTGAACTTTATTGGTGGGCATCCCTCTAATTCAAGTTCATCCTGGATAAATGAGAGAGTGTTCTATAATGGATATAGAGTGATGCCAAAGCCCACAGGGTAGCACAGTGGAAGAAGTGGAATTCTCCAGGGTCTTAGACGATTTGAAGTGGCACCTTAGGTGATCTGAAAAAGTAAATGTTCATGGTTCTCCTTTTGGTTCAAAATTATAGTAGTCTGGTTACCATCACTGTTTTAAGAGGTAGAGCATACACCCACTTTCCAACAGTTGATTCCTGGTCAGCAGCTCTCAACAGATTCTCTTATTTTATCCCATCAGCCTTTGGTGATGACCAGATCTCTCTGCAGCCCAGAAAGCAAGACTTCTTGTACACCAATCACTACTTGAGATCCATGAACCGGATATCCATGATGAGAAGGAAGTTCTTGGGCAGTGGGCGGGGAGCGGGAGACAGGACAGTAAACACTTGATGTTCCAGGTCCACACTGGTCACCACAATGAAGCCAGCCACACTTGTCTCAGAGAGGTTCTCCTCTGTCCCCTCAGCCGTGCTGACGCTCAGTAGATGGTGCACCATATCTCGGCCAGGGGTGACAGGTACTAACTTGAGCTGATTGTCTTCCTGAGACATGCCTAAAGGCAAACAGGAGTCAGGGATGGTAGGTGCCCCAACTTTGTAGATCTTCACATCTGAAAACTTGACATTGAAAGCATGGGGATAGAAACAGCCTCGGAATCCATAGAAGTACTCCCGGATCCGCTCATCCCTACATTCCCGCCGGAAGTCCTTGGTGCGTTCCACCACACCCCCTGATTTAGGAAGCAACACAGTGCGTACAAAGTGCGGCAGATCCCGTTTCAGTTCATTGTACAGTCTTTCTTGATCCAGAACCACAACGACATCCACCTCAAAAGCTGAAGCTGCATGCACCAAAGCCTGGTAACCAGAGCCCTTGACCCAGCCACAGGTGTTAATGACACAGCCACTTACAGATGCCCTTCTGTTCACTTCACACCTTTGGTTGAACACATCTGCTAAACGTGATGTAATCTGGAAAAGAATCAAAATGAGAACAAAGACCCAGCAGATAAACCCATGACTATTTTGTCTCTCTTTAGAACTAAAATGGGGTGCTGTAGGGCTGGGGAGCCAACCCAGGCCTTAGCACATGCTTGGCAAGTGTTCTGAACAAAACCCCCTAGCTCCCCAATTTTTTGTTTTGTTTTTGTCTTTTTAAAAATATTTTATTTATGTGTATGAATGTATGTGTATTGCCTGCATGTGTGCAAGTGCACCGTGTACTGCAATACACAGAGGTCAGAAGAAAGCATTGGATCCCCTGCAACTGGAGTTATGGACGGTTGTTTGCCTCCATGTGGGTGGGAGCTGGGAATCGAACCTAGGTCCTCTGCAAGTGCAGTTAGTGCTCTCAACCAATGAGCCATCTCTCCAGTCCCCTGTTTTTCTCTTTTTTTTTTTTTTTTTTTTTTTTTTTTTTTTTAAAAAAGGAATCAATCGTTTTTTGAAACAGGGTCTCCCTGTAGCCCCAGCTGGCCTGGAACCTGCTATGGAGACCAGGTTAGCCTCACTCTCAAAGAGACCCACCTACTTCTGTCTCTCCAGTGCTGGGATTAAAGTTGTGTTCTGCCATGCCCGGCAGTTGTTACTATTTTATGAAACATGGTCTTGGTACATAATCCAGGCTAGCCTCAAACCCCTCATCCATCTGCCTCAGCTTTCCAAGCGCTAGAATTACAGGGGTGAGCCACAACACCCAGCTCAAAATTTGCTGCGGTTTAAACCCCATTAACACGGATTTAATTTTGTTATTTCTATCTATTTTATCTCCTAAATGGAAATTTAATAAATTAGAATAAGAATAGGGTCACTAAAATGTTTAGCAATCTGAAGCTGACTTACTTTTGAACTCTCTCTTCTGAAATCATGTGGCAGTAATACTACTGGAACAGAACTGGTTAAATTCAGACAGCAAAATGTACACTTTTAAGTAGCAAATTCCCCCACACTTCCTGATTATAACCTCCCTTCCCACCACCCATCTTAGCTCAAGTCTGACCTTGTTATAAAGTTTGATGTTGGTGCCTGGGGTGGTGGAGCCAAAATGATATACCAGAGGGGCCTGGATAGAGAAACCTTCTTCTACATCTGCTGGCCTCTCAATGTAGAGGGCCCCCATAGTGCCCGGGATTGACACAGAGCCCTGGCCCACGTCCAGTTCCACATAGGTAGGACGGCGGCCCAATCGCACTGCATAGTTGAGTAATAGTCGGCACACTGTGGACTTGCCCACATCGGTGGGACCCACTACCATCACTCGGGGGCCTCTCTCTTCCTCCTTTTCTGCTTGCCTCCTCATCTGCTCCAAGGCTGTGTGAGTGTTGAGATAAAGCAACATAGGGGTATCCTTAGAGACATAAGCCACCTCCGTCCGGCCACTCAATTGCAGGGAACAGCCATGCCAAGTAAAAACAGCCACCTTGGCACCAGCATCAAAGGTGAATTTCTTGTTTCGGGTCAGCTCTGTGCCAAAGATCTCTGCCATGCCAGCCAACAACTCCAACTGAACTGACTGGGATGCCTCCACCTCAAAGCGCAGTTCTGTTTCTCGCTCTAGTTCAAATTTAGTCGTTGGCTTCTTGTCATCATTGGCTTCCTCGCCCATCTTTTCCATAGAGCTGCTGTGCCGAGAATGAAAACAAAACATTAGATCAAATCATAAGTCAGGCCACAGTTCAAAACCTCCAGTGGAGCTTCCTTCAGCTTGCTTTCTCTGCATAGTTCTTTTTTAAAAAAATATTAGCCAGGCGTGGTGGCACACACCTTTAGTCCCAGCACTTAGTAGGCAGAGGCAGGAAGAGCTCTGTGAATTCAAGGCCAGCGTGGTCTATGTGTATGGGTGTTTTGCTTACATGTATGTAAGCGCAACATGTGGGTGCATTGCCCCACAAAGGCCAGAAGTGGATGTCAGATCCCCTGGAACTGGAGTTACAGGTGGTTGTTAGCCACCATGTGGATACTGGGAATCGAACCAGGGTCCTGCTGAAAAACAACAGCAAGTATTCTTAGCTGCCGAATCATCCCTCCCACCCTCCCTCTGCATAGTTCTTACCACCTGTTTTACTATGTATTTGTTTGCTGCTTGTCTTCCCTGTAAATAGAAGGTAGGGGTATTTTTGTTTGATCTCTAGTACCCAGAATAGTAAAGTACCTCAATAAATAACATTAGGTGAATGAGCCACTCAGACATAATGAGAAAACTCCCTGCAGATTAACAGGAGACTGGATTGCATCTTCGGACCTCCCATCATCATTATTGGTATTTGAAAAGAAAGCAACGGATGCCCACGCCCCAACTAACAAGAAAAGGGCCTCTGAATGGGATGCCAATTAGAGGACGTCAGGTTTGGACTCTGATAACAGCTGCAGGCCTGACCCCTGGGACTTCTAGTACAGCTACAAACCAATCACTTAACCTCAGAACTTATTCCTCAAGCTGCCAACTCGGGGCACTTACCCTCCCTCACACACAAGCCTGTTCTGGGGATAATAGATCGTGGGAGGTAAAAAAGAAGCATTTCCTAAGTTAGAAAACACCAAAGAAACGTGAATTATTAGATTCTGAACCACATCTCTACGTCCTGCATTTGTGCCTGTCACCCCGACACCGAAACGTGCCCAGGCCTTGCGGAGGCGACCTTTGAGTCCTTAACCCTCTTACCTCACCTACACAGCCACAAGCCCTAGATCAGGTTCTTCTGGAACAGAACCTCAGCCGAGACACACTCTCCGCTCACCTAGAGACCCGCCGGAAAGCAAACGCGATTCCGCTCTTGCGCGGTGGGTGGAGGCGGGGCCCCGCAGTGCCTCCTGGAATATGTAGTTAGGGTTAGGACGGGTGAGCGCGCGCGCCGCCGCTCAGCCTTCTGGGAGTTGTAGTTTGGGTATTGTGCTGGTGACCCGTGGAGGTGGGCAGAGCTGTCATTGTGCGCAGTGCGGGGAGGGGGCGGGGGGGGCGGAGTGGGAGGCGTGGCCATTGCTCCCCCCGCGCGAGGGGCGGAGACACGGCCTGGACTTCGGGGACTGGGTCTCGCCCCATCTACTGTCCAGGAAAGCGAAGGGTGGACAGAAAGGGAGGGGATGCAATGTGTGGGTGTTCGGCGTTCCTGGACCACAAGCCAGGAAGTGGGGAAATTAGCAAAACCCGGGTTGGGCAGGAAGAGTGCAGGAAAACAGCCGGCCAGAGGTACGCAGAGCTGACATCCTTCACCTGACTGCTTGACATAGCACTCCAAAAACATCTTTTTCATTCTTTCTGGTTTCTTTTATTCTGGTTTCACTGTGCAGCTAGCTTAGGCTAGACAACTCCGGACTTAGATGATTCTCTTGCCTCAGCCTCCCGACTGTTGGAATTTACGGACGTGAGCCGCCAAGCCGAGCTAAATTTTTTTTCTTTAATAAAAGAACAAAAGGCCACGGACTTCCTGCATTTACCCTATAAATCAGTCATTATCCAATAGCCTCTCCCACTGAGTGGAGACTGTTTTCTTACTTAAATCTGACAGTTATACAAGATCAATCATTTACCCCACTGCCAACAGGTTCGGCCACATCTGTAATCCACTTTTCATGAGCTTGGTCTTTGGAATCTTGAATTGTTTGCTCACTGGCTCTACTTCAGGTAAATCATAGGCTACCTGTTCCTGAGACATCTCTTGTCTGTAAAATGGGGATAATAACAGTACCCGACCTCTTAAAGTTGTTTTGAAGATTGGATGGGATGATATATGTAAAGCGCTAAGCACAATGCCTATAATATAGAAAGTATCTGATGTTCGCTTTTAAGTTTTTATTATAGGCTTGAGATCTTAACAATATCATCCATTTATACTTTACATTTTTCTGCATTCTTTCAGGTATCTTGATTCACAACACCCTGCAAAGTCAGCTGTATCATCTCCAATTCCATTTATGGAGGAGACTAAGAGGCACTTGCCAAAGCATTCCAGTTACTAGCAGAAGTGGTTTCTTTGATGGCTAATTTCAATTGTCAACTTGACTGGATTAAAATACCTAGTGCATTAATGAGGCACAACTTTTGATGTGTCCGTGAAAGTGTTTCTAAGAGATTTAACTAAAGACTCATCCTGAATATTGGCAGCACCTTCCCCATGGACTGGGGTCCTGGATTGAATAAAACTAGGAAAAGGAAAAAGCCAGTTGAGCACCAGGCATTCCCCTCTCTGTTTCCTCATCTGTTCAGGTGTGAGCTTGTTCTCCTCACCACAGTTGAAAGCCATTTCCATTGCCATGCCTTCCCCTCTCTGATGGACTCTAGACCTCCTGAACCATGTGTTAAAATAAACCCTTCGTCTTTTCTTTGTCTTTTGTTAGGTATTTGATCACATTGATGAGAAAAGTTATGAAAACACTCAAACCAAGAGCATGGGAGACTGAATTCATTTATAATAATGGCAAACGATTATATAGTGTTAGATGTTAGGTACTGTACTATGTCTTGTATAAAAATAAATTCATTTAATCCCAGTGAGACTCTTGTGCTGTAGTTAGGATAATTGTCATTTCCGTTTTACAGTCTCCCCCTACCCCCTCTGTTAACAGGTAAGTACTTTTTCCATCCCAGCCCACCTGGTGAACTCAGACTGAGACACCTGGGATGCTTCCCCCGCCCTTCTCCTGCTGCTCCTACTTAGCACTCCTTTTCAGACAGGCCACACCTTGCCTCTCACAATTTTCTTTGGAGATTTACTTTATTATTTCATTCATCATGTATGCATTCGTTCTTCAGTTAACTATTAGCTAGATACACTGATTTATTTTTATCATCCTTCAGAATTTCAGCTCTAGACTTCCATTTGCAAACTTCCAGCCTCCCAGAATGAATTTATCCTTGCCTTTTTCCATGTAACTCAGCTTCTAAGTCTGTTTCTTTACCTTCATGATCTACCTCGAGGCAATGCCTTCCAATTATTTGAAGGTCATTTTTATTAGGCTATTGTATAACCATCTCAAGTTGAATTCAGAAAGAACCCTCTCCTCCCTTTTACACTGCTCTCCACTCTGCTTCTTAAACACAGGAAAAGGACACAACATTTAAAGCATCTGTGCTTGCCCACACACTCTCTTCTCACTTTTGGTCTCATCAGGCACTCTTGTCATCTCCACCCCACCCCCAAATCATTCTGTCCTCATGTGTCTTTCTCCTTTTCCTCTCCAGCTAAATCCTTGATCATTTTGTTCCTTGATTTAAATTCATGAATAGCCTTTTTGCTCCCAAACATTAAATCCATGCCCTAAGAACTAGTTACCTTTCTTTTTCCCTCAAGACTGGATCCTCAAATTCATCTTTATATTTTTCTTTTCTTTTTCAAAATTATATTGTTGTATGAGAGATGATGACATGTGTATATGCAGGTTCTTGTGCCAAGGTGCACACGTGGAAGCTAGAGGACAATTTTGTGGAGTTGGTTCTGTCTTTTCACCTTTACATGAGTCCTGAATGGGAATAAAGCTTAGGTTGCCAGGTTTTTGCAGCAAGTGCCATTACCCAATGAACCATCTCATCAGCTCCTATATTTCCTTTCTTATTGGTTTCCCAGACAAGATTCTTTCCTCTCCTCTCTCCTCCTCCCCCTACCGACCCCCCCAATTTTGTTGTTGGTGGTGGGTTTTTTGTTTTTGGCAGAATCTCCTGTAGCCTTGAACTCCTGATCCTCCTGTCACCACCTCAGGGGTGTAGGGGTTACAGGCATATGCCACCATGCCCCATGTCCTGTTTTTGTTTTGTTTTGATTTTGTTTTGTTTTGTTTTGTTTTTGGTCTTTTTGAGACAAGGTCTCCCTGTAGCCCCAGTTGGCCTGGAACTCACTATGTAGACGAGGCTGGCCTTGAGCTCACAGAGATTCGCCCACCTCTGCCTCCCAAGTGTTTGTTGAGACAGTGTCTCACATTGCAGCCCAGGTTGAACTGACTCTTACTATGTAGCTCAAGTTGTCCTCTAATTCATAGCAATTGTCCTGCCTCAACTTCATAAGTGCTAGTAATACAGGCTTGCACCATGACAGACTTTTTCTCCCTCCTTTACCCAGCTCCTCATTTTCAAACCACTAGTGCTATCCGTCAAGACATGCATTGTTTTCAGAATTTACCTAAACCCCAGAAGATATTCAAAATTCCTTTTTTTTCTTACCCAGCTAGCAATACCTCCCAATGCCCCTTTTCCAGGCCTTAACCCCTCACCCTCGCATGAGAAGAGAAACAAATCAACTGTTAAACTGCCTTTTAGAAGTCTCCAACGACTTGCATTTCCTGAATGTTAGCCTCTGATAAGAACTGGGACTTTTATTTTGGAGGATATATTCTGGGCTCACAGACTTTAGTGTCATACACACTATGGCATGAGAAGTGTTCTGGGTCAGATGAATTTTAACTTGAAGCTGATTTTTTTAAAAAAAAAGTCAGGCATGGTAGCCCATGCCTTTAGTCCCAGCACTTGGGAGGCAGGTGGATCTCTGTGAGTTCAAGGCAAGCCTGGTCTACATAGTGAGTTCCAGGCCAGCTGGAGCTATAGGAAGATCCTGTCTCTTAAGAAGGCAAAAAAAAAAAGGGGGGGGGGGATATACTTTCTCCAAAAAACACAAAGTTGACATTTTATCACCTGAAACATAAAAAAAAATTAATGGGTTTATGCGTAATAAGAGTTTATTTTTTTATGGAGCTCAAGCTGGCCTTGAGTTTTAATTCCTCCTGCCTCAGCATCCCAAGTGAGGAATGCTGTTTTGAAATAACAGTAACTCATAATGAAGCTTGTAATTTGAATGCTAACTTTAAATTTAAAAAAAAATCAAAAAGGGGGCCGGGCGTGGTGGTGCACGCCTTTAATCCCAGCACTCAGGAGGCAGAGGCAGGTGGATCTCTGTGAGTTAAGGCCAGCTGGGGCTACAGGGAGACCCTGTCTCAAAAAGACCACCCCCCAAAAAAAATCAAAAAGGAAAGAGCATTACTGTTCACTTAGTGCCCATGTTGTGCCAGGCACTTTGTGAGCCCAGTTTGCCATCCATGACAATTATCTATCCTTGTTTCCCCTGCGTCAGAGCTGGTGTCACAGCCGAAGTGGAGAAATGTATCATGTTGAGTGAAAGCGAGTGTGTGCACTTCCTGGATTTCTGTATCCATGGCTCACTTCACCAGCCTTGCTGTCTCCTTTATCCAACCCTGCTACCCTTACTCCATCCTTGCCCACCCGGTCCTTCCCTCAGGTTCTATCTTCTTGGCCACACAGCCTTACTCCTTAATAACCTACCTTGCCCACTGCCAGCACCAACACCCCTAAGTCATCCCTCTGCCCCCACTCCCTAGCATCACTACCCAAGTCTTGTCCCTTGATGTCTGCCCCCTCCCTTCCTCCCAACCCGCCTCCTGTGTCTCCCAGCCCTGCTCTGACGTGGGAGGTGAGGGGGGTGGGGGGATGGATGAGTCACAGTGTTATGATGCAGTTCCACAACACACAGCCACATTCACCCACAGACCGAGGTACAGAACAAGAGGCAACCTCTGGCCCCCCAGCAGCTGTCCAGCGTTGCAGCCCCAGTCCTCAGCCCCTCAACTACCCTCCCCCCAATCCCATCCCCTTCCCAGTTGAAGGAGCCGAATGAGAAGAGAGAAGAGTGAGCAGAGAGAGTGAGAGATAGATAGACGGAGATCTCTGGAACAGACCTCAAGGTGAGGGGGCAGCCCTTCTCCAAATGAATTTTTTCCCCTTTGCAAATTTCCTCCTCCTGCTGCGTGTGGCTTTCTCCCCTTTTGCAAAAGCATTATTCATCCCTTTGTCCTCCCTTCCCCCTCCCCGCTGCTCCGCTTTCTCTCTCTCTCTCTCTCTCTCTCTCTCTCTCTCCCTCTCCCTCTCCCTCTCCCTCTCTCTCCCCTCCTCCATCCCTCTCCAAGCTCTGACGATTCTCGCACTTATTTCCCGGCAACTTTGGCTGCAGCATCAGACATCACTGTTTATTGTTTTTGCAGCGGGTGCAGACCCCCAACGCCGCCCTGGGAGCTAGCTGCGCTGCTAATTATTTGGACCATACCATACTGAAAATGCTAGTCCAGGGGGAGGCGGAACCTCAGAGCAAATGAGAACATCCATTGTGAGCACGCTTCCCCCTCCCCTTTTTTTCTCCCTGGGATGCAAGGGATTCGCACCTGGTTCCTTGAGCCTCCGCCTCTCACCGCTCTGTCAGCTGCCTGTTCTCCCCGCTGCCAACCCTTCAGCTCCCCCCCCCGCCCCCCAGTCCAGTCCCATCTCACGTCAGGGAAGCGTCCTCGTCCCCGCGCTCGGCTCACCTTTGTTCCCCCACCCCCGATCATCTGCCTGATTTTCTTATGATCAGAGATGGGAAAAGAAATGACCCCAACTCTCTCTTCTGTGGGTTTTGGTTTTTTTGTTTTTGTTTTTTGGCCTTTTTTGCAGCTTCTCCTGGACTGGACAGGGAAGCAAGGGATAGGGAGGGAGGCGTGTCGGAGGGATGGGGCTGGGGAAAGAGCGGAAGAGAGCTGGGGCAGGGGTCAAAGTTGGCATCCTGGTCCTAGAGGCGTTGTGTCAAGGAGGTAGGCGTTGAGGGGAACTCGAAAGCAAAGTTGAAGGCAGACCATTGAAGGAAATGCTGAACTGTAGTCTCCCAGCAAGGAGGGCCAGAAGCCAATGTCATCCTGAATTCAGCCCAAGGTCTTCTGAGGACCAGAAACTGAAGATGGTCTTACTCAAGGGGTTGTGTGGAAAGACTGCCTGGCAGCCCTTGGAGAAAACAGAACAGTCAGGGCTCCTGTGGCCACCACAGAGGACAGACTGAGAACAGCCCGTCTGTCCTGGCAATTGGAGCCATACTGCCTCCCTCCTCTGCTCGGTGGTTTTGCATCATCAGAGCACTAAGCTGTACCACCCACCACAGCATGAGACCCCACAACATAGAAGGCAACACTTCACCTGCTTATCAGAGCTAACAGAAGACATCTCCCTCCTAATCCTCTGCCTGCAGCACCCTCAGCCACATACAGGGCTGGAGAGAGTAGATACCAGCATCTCAGGATTCCTAACCAGAACCTGGCAATTATTTAATCTTCAGTTGACAGTCAAGGCTGTTTGCCTCACCTCAGGGGAGGAAAAAAACAAACAACAAAAAAACATTTTTCTGCCTTGTGCCCCAAAGCCCAGCTTTTAAAAAACAAGGAATCCCCTTACTTTGCTGGTTCCTGTTGATGCCACTCTTACACTATCCCACATAGCCCTGAACAGTCCAGGAGTTTCCCCACTGGTCCACTTATCAGACTTGATAGAGAAAAGATAGTTTTTCTCCTAGGGCTGGGTGCCTAAGTATTTAACTCGGGGCCAGTGTAACAATAAGTAAATAGTAAAGAGACCAAGGGACCCAGAGGCTAGAAGACAGCAAGTGCTCCCTCTAGGCCTGGATACATAACCCAGGATGCAGGATCCCAGCCCAGCCAAGCTTGAGGTCTGCGTTGCTGAAGAAGCTATCTGTGAAGTTCTGTGAAGTGCCAGAATGCAGGACCCAGTCTCAGAAGAGAAATGAACAGGGTGTGCAAACCTACCTACCTGTTCCCACTTTCTTTCCTCCCAAAATGTGGACCAAATTGCATTGCAAGTGGAGACCATGGAAGAAAAATGTCAATACCCAACTTTTTAAGGGTCTTGAGCCCCAGAGCCTACATGTTAGGGTGCAGTCCCTCACAGAACTGGACCAGAGGACCTTTGCAGGAGAGGCTGCCCCCATGACAGCATCCGTGCCAGCAAGATGCTCTCAGTGGAAAATGGAGGCAGCTACTGCCTCTGGAGAGACCCATACCAACTCCCTGGCCAAGGCACAAGAAGCCTGGAAGCACTGCCAGCGCAGAATGGGACTCCAGGGGACAGACAAGCAGTGTTACTGGAGGCCGAGGAGGGTTGATGGGGAAGGTAGGGGTACAGGTGAGCTGAACCCCACCTTCTCCAACCGCTCTGGAGCCGCTCCTCGTGAGGTCACAGCTCCCCTGACGAACCTTCCCTTCTTGTCAGGTGACTTCCATTTCTATCTGCTTCTCGTCTGGGGGGGCCCTGTCCGGGCAGCCCCCCCACACTTCTTCTGCCCTGAAACACGGCTCTAGCCAACCTGCTCCGCTGCTTCACCTGCGACCGTCTCTGTGGGGGCTGCACGGCGCCAGCCCCTCCAGCCCGCCAGGGCATCGTCCTCCAGCCCGTCATGCCCAGCTGTGACCCCGGCCCGGCCCCCGCCTGTCTACCCGCCAAGACTTTCCGCAGCTACCTGCCCCGCTGCCACCGCACTTACAGCTGCGTCCACTGTCGTGCGCACTTGGCCAAACACGATGAGCTTATTTCCAAGGTAACGCTGAAGTCGGGGCCCGCCGCTCCCCCAGTCTTCCACTCAAGGCTTGCCCGAACAAAGCAACAAGATCCGAGGTCTCCCCATCCCCAGCTGGGATTCAGGCAGTGGGGCTGAGGGATACCCGGTGGTCACTGTCTGTCCTGTCTCCACAGTCCTTCCAAGGGAGCCATGGCCGGGCCTACCTGTTTAACTCCGTGTGAGTCCACCTCTTTCTTTGTGTGCACTTGTGCTTGTATGTGCCAACAGCTTTCCTCTGTGGAAAATGGGGGCGTACCATCAGAAGGATCTGGTACCTTTGGCTTTACTTCATTGTATGCAAAAGGGTTCATAAAAACAGTCTGCAGTTTTGTGGGGAGAAAGGCCCAGGCACTAATCCTAAAGGGGTGGATTGCTGAAGACAGGGCCTTCTAGTTTTCTCTAGGTAGAAATCTTTCTGGGCTGGTTGGGGGCTGGACTGACAGAAGCACCTACTGGGTGCTGGGTCCTTCCTGTTTCCTGAGACAGGGTCAACGTGGGTTGTGGACCTGCTGAACAGCGCCTCCTGCTCACAGGACTCCACTCGGTAGCTGACATTTTCTGCGAAAGCTGCAAGACCACATTGGGCTGGAAATATGTAAGTTCTTGAAGAGGGCCACTTTCCAGACAGTCCCATGGCCCTCCAAATGCAATGTCCACATGCTGCATCTTTCCCTGAGTGGTCCAAACAAGGAGTTGGGGACTGGGCTGGTCTAGGTGGAAATAGGGGAGCATGGAGGGAGATACTTTTTCCCATGTTCACTGTTTCACTCCCCACCAGGAACAAGCTTTTGAGACAAGCCAGAAGTACAAAGAAGGGAAGTACATCATTGAAATGTCACACATGGTGAAGGACAACGGCTGGGACTGAGGGGCTCAGGCAGGCTGTGCCCCTCCTCCGCATGCCCCACCCTACTCACACCTGCCCCCTGGCCCTGCCGAGCAGTCCACACCAGCATGAGTACTACCCACCCCTGGGAAAAACTGGCTCCAACCGATACCTCCCTCCCCTACCACAGCACTACCAGGCCCCTACAGGGGCCTGGGATACCCCAGGGGTGGCCAAGGCTCAGGAGTGGTTAGCAGTCAGGGAAATACAGAATCAGGGGAAGGAGGTTATGGCACTTAAGATAGTGATGGCAGGGCCTGAACTCAGGCAGACTAGACCAGAGGAGTTACCAGATTTTGATCCTCCCTTTTCTGAGCGAACAAGCCAAACCCTGGATGGCGGGGCTAGTAGACTCTAGGCCAGAGACTAGCAGTGGCTTAGTTTAGAATGAAATTTCTGTCTCAGACATCAGGGGCCCAGAGTCTGTGGGTGAAGATTCCCCACTCCCATTTGTGGTAAAAGCACTGGGGGTGGAAGGGAACAGGAAGGAAAAATCTAAGCCCCAGACCCTGGGAAGTCAGTCACAGGGGTTTCCATTTCACTCCACTGTTTACCTTGGCACTAAAGAGGCACTTTTGCGTATCTAACCTTTGCCATTGGGTGGGGTGGGGAAAGCTGCCCTAAAACAGCCCCCACCCCCAGCTGGCTGCTGCCAGAGCGAGCAGTGCTTGCGGGCATTCCCCATGGCCCAGACGCTGCTCCCTGGGACCCAGTCCCCTGGAGGAGAGGTGGATCAACAGTGCTGCGGGACCAGTCCTTCCCGTAGCCGCCACCAGCGAACGAAACTTTTGTATGATACAAAGTGTTTGGGTCTATTTTTAATAAAAAGAGAAAAACAACCAAGGCGCAGTCCTGGCCTTCCTTCCTTAGGTACCAAGTACTGTGCCCAGTGTGCACAGCAGCAGGTGGCCTTTCATAGACCACTAGGGGGCAGCAGTTGCTTTGTCTATGTCAAGATCCTTCACCTGTTTTCACCAGGGGTGAACATCCCAGTGAACCAAGAGGCACTTCCATGAGCTATTCCAGCAGGAGCCTCCAACTTTCTCCTCGGGATCTCCACTTTTTGCTTGGATTCAGGATGAGAGCTGGTATAAGCTAATTCCACAGTCAAGTGTTTTCTTGTGTCACCTTGGGTTTTTGGCCTGGTTCTAGAATGTTTTAGTCAGCGCATGGACACTTAAAAAGGTAAAATAAAAATTTATGGGTTCAAGATACTACTGGCAGTTGAACCAAAGTGGAAAATTGCTTAAAATCATAGCATCAATGCAGCAGTGTGATGTAAGGGGCATGAGGGGGCAGTGATGTGAAATTCCCAATTTGGGACTGCCCAGAAACTATGGGGAAGATTGTGCTTACTGTAATAATCACCTTTTACAAGTTTATTCTTATTTCTAGATCAGTTCGTTTGCATTGCAAATATTTATAGAGCACCTATTACTTGCCAGGCATTGTGTTAAATTCCAGGAATGCATAGTGAGCAAGGCAGCTGTGGTCTGACTTCTAGGAGCTTTCAGTCTAGTGGCAGGAAAAGAATAACCAGGTAATCCCAATAGATAAGAGATCTAGGCATGGAGACAGAGGAACAGCAAAGACAGAAGTCAGGGAAGGCTTCACAGAAGAGGGACTATGATGAAAAGCTGAGTATATAAGGAGCAGGACCAGGGAGAGCAATTCAAACAGAACTGTTAATGACCTAAACTTGGGTAATTTGAAGAAACTGTGTTTTCCTGTGGCTGGAATAGAGGTGCAAGTGGATAAGACATAAAAGATTAAAAACAGGAGAAATGGGCTGGGCTACAAACCCTAGACAATCTAGATCTTATCCTAAGGGCACTGAGGAAGCATTTTGGGGAAAAAAAACAAAACAAAACAAAACAAAACTATGTTACTTTGAAACAAGATCCTTATATAGCCCAAGGTGGCCTTTCAACTTGCCAAGACTTTGAAGGAGATCCTCTCACCTCCACCTCCCAAGTGCTGGGATCACACCCAGGGACTTGTACACACTATGGAAACACTCTACCACCTAACCCGCATTCTTAGCCCCAAACTCTTAAACTAACCAACCAACCAAGTTAAGTGGCATCACCAAATGGCTAGTTTGTGCCCCAACATAAAACTCAAATAATTTTAATTGACTGACATAAGGGATATCCTGGAGCTATCTGTGCCATTTCAAATGCCAACCTTCAACATCAGAATGGAGAAACTGTGTGGGGCAGGAGAGCTGGAAGACAGAGGTGAGAGAAAAGCAAATTTGAGCAAGAAACATCCATATTTCAGTTGCTGCTTGCCCAGTGACTAATGTCAATACCCTCAATCTCTAGCAGAGACTCAACTTCATCCCTCGGCCCCAAGATTAACCGCCTTCTTAAGGGAGCTTCCCACAACATGCCCTCTCTACTGTAATGATTTTTAAGGAAGACCTTTAGGAAAAGGAGAAGACCCCTGTGAGAGACAGACTGGCTGTGTTAAGTATGAGAAGACACATTGTGTGGGCCTGGCTCAAGGGATAATATTCACTTTTTTTTTTTTGAGACAGGGTCTTATTATGTAGCCCTGGCTGGCTTAGAACTCACCAGGTAGGCCAGGCTGGCCTCCAACTCAGAGATCCAACTGCCTCCTGGGATTAAAGGTATGCACCACCACCACACCCAGCATATTTAACCTTCTAAGATCACATAAGCAGTGCTGTCCAAATCTTGGGTGCTCAGGCTAGACCTGCTTCAAAAAGACATCACTATTCAGTGATATGATCAGAAGGGGTCATGCTGAATACTGCAAATGAAGTGGACGAGACCTCCTTTCCATGCAAACTGAGAGGCAGCAAGGAGCCAGATGGAGAATACCAGGGGTACCAAGGCCTGGTAACTGTCCTTTTGTTAGCCCTTTTCCTTTCCTGTGTGCCTCTTTTTCTTCAGGTCGTTCCTGGACCTTACAATGATTCCACCCAACCTCACCCACTCACCATTCCCCACATTTATCCTTAAAAACTTAAGACTTCAGATGATACCCATGCACAACCAGCAGGGGGCATCAAAACCTTCCACCCCTCAGTTCAGATCACCCTGTGAAAGAACCTACTTAATCTCTCCAGTCAAGTCTACAGAAAGATGGGCACCCTCCTGTTGGACTCAGGACAGTTATATTTAATGTAGTTCTACAGCCTTAGCTTGAACTTCCCTAGTCCTCCCTCAGTTTTCTCATCTAACAAATGAGGATGCTACCTGCCAAGAAGTTATTAGGGCTCACAATGATACAATCTCTAGTCCATGAGAGATACACATTAAATGCCTCCATAAATCCAAGCTATCAGAATGATTACTACCAGAGGCTTTCTGAATTCCCACCAGAGAAGCTGATTGGTGCTCAGATGGGAGAAACAGTGACACTGAGGAGACAGCCGGCGCTGGGTAGCACTACAAGGCCAATGCCCTTTTAACATTGCACTGCTCGTTACAGGTGCAGACAGTAGCACAATGTGAAAAGAGCTCCGGCCAGCAGCAAACACATGCCGGCCCTGCCTCCACACCTCTTCTCCCAGTCCCTGGCCCATTCAGCTCACAGCCTTCCTTCTCTTCCACCTTCCTTCCCAGCAGAGATCCGTTTTTGAGGGGTGGTGGAACAGGGCCCAATAAGGCCGCCTAAGGGATTGCAAGTGTTTGATACATACAGAGGTCGCATTTCTACCAGTCCCTTTCAGAAAAGAACCGCTTAGAACCCTCTCCTCTTCTCCAGTCTAAAGCTGTCCTTTTATCTTTTGATAAAGGAACCTTGCTGATCTCAAGGTGATCTTAGATAAACCTCCAGGACCAGAGAGTGGAAGAATGTAGTTACAGTAGAAGAGAGAAGTTTCTGGACCTGGAGTGCAAGTAGCTGAAGCCCCAGGCTAACTATATTTGCTTTTTGAGGTCTTAAAAGAAATGGTCAGTGATTCCAGCTCTTAGACTGAGTTAAGGACAAGCTTTCACTGGTAGTGGGATTAGAAGCCAAGTTTCCTGTCCAAACCCCTGACCCATTATGGAATCTTCACTCCCATCTCGATGCTCCTTCAGCCCTTAAACCATCCTCATCTCATCCTAGTTTAACCGCCTCAATCACAGGGCCTCTACCCAAAGTCAGGTGACCCTGGAAAGACACTTGGAAAACCAAAGGCTTGGAGGCGTGCAGAGCTCTTCAGTCATATCCCAACTACTGCCCCTATAACTACAGCTCTGACAGTGCATCCCAAAGGGGCAGAGGTCGAGGAGTGATGACTGCTCAGGGGCAGAATGATCCACTGAGACCAAGGAGCAGCTTCAGGGATACTACCCTCCTCCCCAAGCAGGAAAAATGGAGGACTGAATTCCAGTTGGGAGCTCTTCCTCTGGGCTTCCCCCTCCACCCCCTCAGGAAGAGGTTCTCTACCGCCTTTCCAGGCAGAGTTTGTTCCTGTAATCTGCAAACACGGGGCCCTGCCCCACAGTTTGCACAGTTCCAATGGACGGAAACCAAGGCCTCGCTAGGGTCAGTCGCCAGGACACTCTGCTCTTGGAGTTGGGCAAGCCAGTTGGGAACTAGATCAGGCCAACATGGGGCAGAGAAGCAAAGACAAGGCTGCCCAGTAAGCTTCAAGGTAGCCAAAGATTCTTCCCCAAGGAGTTCCCAGATCTTTCCTTAGGGAGTGAAGGGCCTGGGACACTGAGCCCCTCAGAGCTCAAAACCCAACTCATTTCTGAGAAGGGGGCCCTGCGATTTACCAGCCAGCAGGACCCCTCCCCCACCTTGAGCCTAAGAGCCATCCCCCACCTCCTTCCAGAAGCGAGTGTAGAGGCAGAGGAGGAAATGGGGGAGGGGAGGCTCTGGCTCAAGTTCTCTCCACTCCCCCTCCTCATTGGCCACCATCTTCCGGCCCCTGCCCGCCAGAGCAGCAAGGATGGGGCCCAGCCTGTGGAAAGGAGAGAAAGGGCAGGTGGGGGGTTAGCTGGAGCAGCAGGGGCAGGGGGCTGGCTCCAACTGTCTCTCCCCTCCCTCCCCCGCCTGCCTGCAGACATGGCGACGGGAGGAGGAGGCCTGGAGGGTCCTGAAAGCCCTGTTCTGTGAATGAGATGAGAGGGGCAGCTGGGGAGTGTGGGTGAGGGGCGCTCTCCCTCGACACCCAACTGTGCCCCCACACACGCCTCAAGGCTGGACCACACACACTGGCGCGCACAAACTCAGCCATACTTACTGCATAACTCACCCCCTACTTCACACTCACCCCCCCAACTGGAAGGTGGGGGCACGGTTACCCGCTTTCTCGCACCCCACAGTTACTAGCCAGAGCCAGCCTCACACCTCTGCAGCCGGTGGGGCTCACCCCATAAGTTCTGGAGGTGCAGAACTCCCTGCCATACTTCAGCCCCTCGATGGTCCGGAACACACCCGCCAAGTCCCCTGCGCCCCCACACCCTCTCAAGCCCAGGCATAGGCAGATGGCCCAGCCTCGGAGCCCCTCACCCTCTTCCCACCACGCCCCCCCATTGGAAAAAAGACAGTGAGGCCGCCTAGGAAAGACACGCCTGACGCTCCCCAGATAGTGTTTCGAAAGAAAATAAATAGAGATGCCTAACGGATGCAGAATGAGGGGGGAAAGCCGAGGAGAGAAAGAGCCCGGAGCAGCCCCTCCCCTCACCGAGAGAAGAAATCCGAAAAGCAGCGAGCTCGCGGTACCTACACATCGCTCTTCTTGGGTTCCTCTGCCCGCCACCTCCTTCTTCCCGGGCTCTTTCTCTGCCCTTCCCTCCCTCTCGGCTCCCCTTCCTGGCCTCGCTCCCCCTTCTCCAGCCCTCTCGCACCCCGCTGGTCCCTCTCCCCCTGG